TTGATGCCTAACAAGACTGATAAGTTCATTTTTTAGCTCCTTTTAGTTGCTCTAGCGCGACCGGCTTGCATAAGTATAAACCTGCAATGGTCATGATGAGGACTGATAGACTAGACTGCTTTGTTTTCTTCTGAATTATGTCCCATTCACTATGGCAGTGGTAGGCCAGTAAAATATCTTTTTTAGTAATCAGCTCTGCTGGGCTTTAAAATCTACTTTGGGAAGAATTAATTATTTGATAATTTAGTAAAGAAAACTATTCGATCACTTTTATTTCTAAAAGCTTAATCATGACTTACTTCAAAACATTTTTCTGTAACAAATGCAAAAAGAGAATTAATGTCTTTACTAAAAGAATTACTAAGGCTAAACATGAAAAACTGTGTCGTGGTATTTCTCGAGGGTGTAGAGTTGTTGGTGCATTGGTTCCTGATCAGCTTGATCGAATGGAAACCGACAACAACGACAACAGTGATCGCGGAAACGATTCACAAATGGAGGTAGAGCTGATGAATTCAGATCATGATGATAGTATGCTGACTGAAGATGATTCTGAGGCAATTGAACACCTGGATGTTGGTACAGAAGAAAGTGAGGAAGTAGATGAAGCCAACGTATAATGGGTTCAATTTTTTCTTCTTCTGAGAACAGTACCACATCTGAAGTCGAAATGGAGGCAACTAGGGTTGAATTAGGAACGACATTCAATCGTACAGTTGCCTCCATTTCGACTTCAGATGTGGTACGACCCATCTCTTGGTTTCGCAGATTCTTCAGCCAGCGAAAATAACCCGCCCACAAGTCAAGAAAAAATAGAACAGTACGCTTAGAAAGCTATAGAGATATAGAATATAGAAAACTTTGAGTTTTATTGTTACTATCCGCTTCCAACTCGCTACGCTCGTTTTTGCACGTCGTCGTGCTGCCGCGGGCTTAAGGGCTTTGCCCTTTGTGATGAGTAAGGGTAAATGCTGAATGAGTTGTAGAAAGGTTAATGCATTTAAAGAGAAAGTAGTGATCGTATAATTTTATTGAATGAGAGCCACATAGTTACAAAAAAAAGAAAGTGGCATAAGTATAGTTGAACATAGGTATAATTGAGCACAAGTGAATTGGGCATAATACATATATTAATTGAGCAAAAGCTCTGAATAAACAACATTGTTGGTTGTATCTGTATTCTCTGGCAAAAGGACTGATACACCAAAGAGAGAAGCCACCCTTGACAACGCGACATATAGCTGACCATGCAACGGCGGACGTCGCAAGTCAACTCCTACATACTTTAATGGTTGGTCTTGGGATTTGTTGATTGTCATAGCGAAACATAGTTTTACAGGAAATTGTTTCCTGGTGAGCATAAATGGCATATTGCCTTCTAGGGTCGACAGAGTAAATCGTGGGATGAGCTCTATTGGAGCATCAGGTTTGTTGGCCAGGCGAAGCCTAAGCATATACTGACCAATATGCATTACGATTAGCCTCGTTCCGTTACAAAGACCTCTTGCTGGATCAATGTTTCGTAAAAGCATAACCGGTGCGCCGACCTTTAGCTCCAGTTGTGAAGGAGGCAAGCCAGAGGGGTTAAGACTTTGAAGGTACTCTGCAGGGATGGTGTGCAAGCCATCAGCATAGTTGATATCAGCAGAATCAGTTGATAAAAGCGTAACCTTCTCACCAGGCATCTTTTCAAGCACAGCCATGTTGATGGTATCCACCGTATCATTACGATTAGCTAAGATTGCCCTTTCACCAAAGTACGCTCGACTACTCAAATTAGGTCTTCGAATAACTTCATCTCTGTATATTCTACTGATGAATTCAGCTAATTGAGTGGTCTGGTGAATGAAGGAAGAAAGGACAATATTGCCTTGAAAGCTACTGTTGTAGGACATGTCTGCCAAAAATCTTGCAAATGTAGTGTCATTTTCACTCAAAACACCTGTTAGACGCATATTCTGAGTGAGTCTCAAGAGATGAAGCCTTGGCCATAAGAATGACTGTCTAATGGAAGCACTGACAGTGTCAGCCCTGTTACCCCTGTTGTATTTGGATTTGGATAGATTTAAAACAAAGTAGAAAATACGATGAGACTGTGTTGTATCTTTATTCAGAATAAAGTGAAAAGAAAAGAGATGATAGCACAATCTATAATTATATATTAAGAAGCTGAGGTATTTAAACT